GAAGCACTCACAGTCACAGGGACAGCTGAGACCACGGTCCTCAGGCAGGAATGTGTCTGGAGTGTTTATGAAACCAAGAAAGCCAGCGTGACTGGGGTGGAGTAGAGTGTTGAGCGAGGGGAGGGGCAGATGACATCAGCGGAGCCAAAGAGCAGATGGCTAAGACCTGAGGAGTCACTGTGGGAACCTGCCTTTTACTCCCACTGCACTGGAAAGATCAGTAGAGGCTACTATGCAGAGGGCAGACTGATCCAAGTGCATTTAAGTATGTTTGGACCTACTCAGGTGTGCAAATCCACTTTGTCAAATGTCAATTTTATAAATCTGAATACAGATCAATTCTTTCCAATGAAAATTTAGTGTCTGAATTACGATGGGCTATAAGTGTAAAATACACATTGCATTTGAGAGACTTAGTGAGAGAGAAGCCCTGTAAAATATCTCAGAGGCAATTTTAATATTTATTTGCATGTTGAAATGGTAATATTCTGGATCTATTGTGTTAAATAAAACATGCTAGAATTAATTCAACTTTATTTTTTCACTTTTTAAATATGGCCACCAGAAAACTTATAATTGCTCCCAGGATGCTTCTTTTTATAACACAATTTACCAAATCTGCTGCAGGAGAATCTACAACACGTGTAGGGTTGGACCTATAGACATGCGTTTTAAGCAAGCGCTCCCAAGTGATGCTGATGGGTGTAAGGGCTCCTGCTCTAGAAACAAGCCCCAGAGTCTTTATTTTGCTAGTTCAAGATAAAGTTCCAAAGCCCTATCAAGGAGTCATGGTGGCAGTGACCATAGCTCTTTTTCTCTTCTCTTTTTAAGATTTTATTTATTTATTTGAGAAAGAGAGTGAGCAGAGGGGAGCCACAGAGGCAGAGGGAGAAGCAGACTCCCTGCTGAGCAGGGAGCCCAATGTGAGAGGGCAAGGGGGCTCGATCCCAGGACCCAAGATCAGGACCTGAGCTGAAGGCAGATACTTAACTGACGGAGCTACCCAGGCACCCTGGCCATAGAGCTCTTCTACATGCCAATAATCACCTGCTCTGCCATTCATCAGACTGGATCCCCATGCCAGTTTATTGCCTGGAATATTCGTTGAAAATACATCACAAATAATTATAGAACCACCAGTCCTAGCATTTATATAAGATTTTACCAATTCTAAGTAGCTTTCACTCAAATGTAAATTTCAAAATTACTATGACAACTATTAAAGACCAAAACTAGTTTAGTAAGGAAAAACTCCAGTTCTCACAGCCATCTGACTTAATCACCAGCTGACTTAAAAAAAAAATCCAGGAAAATTAATACTGATTCATTTTATTAAATTTCTTTTCAATTATCTATTTTCATTACTTAATTTTTTCCTTATGGAAGTCTTTCATGTAACTATGTAATTTTAATTCAGATAGCATAGAGAGATAAATAAAAATTATCCCAAATCTTACCAGAAATAGGAATTGCTTTCTTTTGGGGGTGTTTCCAATCCATTTTACATGCTTTTAATTTTACTCCATTTACAGTTGGATATATTGTATTTTCACTTAACATTTTCAGGTTCAGAATACTATTTGTTTTATAACTATTCCATATTTTATTTATTTATTCTCCTTTTTTGAACATTTAGATATTTCCAAGATTTTGCTATTAATGTGCAATAAGCATACTTTTACAAAAATCCTTTTTTTTTTACAAAAATCTTTAAATGTAATTACTGTCTTAGGTAGAGTGAGTCTAGAAAGTAGAATGTAAAAGGCGAGAGTTAAAAACTTTTTAAATATCATTAATTCTTACTGTTAAATTGCTTCTCAAAAAATCCTATCAATCAATAAGTATTGGGATCCCTGGGTGGCACAGCGGTTTGGCGCCTGCCTTTGGCCCAGGGCGCGATCCTGGAGACCGGGGATCGAGTCCCACGTCGGGCTCCCGGTGCATGGAGCCAGCTTCTCCCTCTGCCTGTGTCTCTGCCCCCCCCCTCTCTGTGACTATCATAAATAAATAAAATAAAAATCACCTTTAAAAAAATCAATAAGTATTGTCAGTTGATGTGTCAATAAACAATTATTAATAGTTTTGCATTAACTTTATTCACTTTTCAAAATCTTTGCTAACTTGTTAGGCCCGTCCAAAAAGAAAAAAGTATTTCATTGTTTTAATTTTCAGAATTAATTAGTGATGTTGGGCTTTTTTCATGTTTTTTGTCTTTTGAGTTCCTTTTAGGAATTGTCTGTAACTTCTTATCTACAAATTCACTAATGTTTGCAGTTTTCACTTTTAGAGCTACAGATTATATTGAAAATTTTAATAAAGTGAAGACCCAACAAATACTCTTTATTTTCACATACTTCAAAACTGTTGTCTCCAGATGATCCCTAGAATGGGTTCATCAATTTTTTTTTAAATCCCATAGAGATTTCGATTGGGGTTCCATTAAATCTATATCTTAAAAACAAATTGACTTCTTTAAAATATATAATCCCCTCACTATGGATTTTTTTAAATAAATAAATGATTACTATCTTGTCATTTCCAGCAGTTTCACAAGTTATTTTTATTTCCTGCTCTGTTGTGCTGGACATAATTTCAAAAATGATTTTTACTGCCCACCTTCTTGAAATATTTTCTTAAAAATATTCCGATATTCTATTCCACTCTATAGAAGTTAGGACAGTGTCCTCTAGGTTATTCTAATCCTTTGGGAGAATGCATTTAGGCCTGACATCTTAATTGAAGAGGCTTATAAATAAATGGAAACATGTTTGAGGGACAGTGTCCATGATGGACTTAAGACCTTGGATCCCACATTAGATCGCAAACAATTGAAAGAATTGAGGATGTTCATTCTGGAAAACAGACACTCATTAGAACATGATGGAACAAGAATTTTCATTAAAACAAGGATTGGTTGTGTTATGTAACCTCTCCAAAGAGAAGAATGAGAAATAAGCTACATAGAGGCCAGTTTGTGGTCATTGTGGATAATCTTAATTAAAAAGTAAAGAGCATACCTTGGTAGGAAGGAGATCCTCCTACATGGGAAATGCCCAAGTATAGGGTCAATAATGAATTACAGAGATGCTTTGAAAAGATTTGAACATCTGATAAGCGGTTTGACTAATAACCTTTAAAATCCAAATTCCAGGGACTCCTGGGTGGCTCAGTGGTTGAGCATCTGCCTTGGGCTCAGGGCGTGATCCTGGGGTCCTGGGATGGAGTCCCGCATCAGACTCCTCGCAGGGAGCCTGCTTCTCCCTCGCCTGTGTCTCTGCCTCTCTGTGTGTATCTCTCATGAATAAACACATAAAAATCTTTATAAAAAAAATAAAATAAATCCAAATTCCATATTTCCACAACCCACTTCTATGGCCTATAGAGTGCCTTGCACAGAAATGTTTACTGAAATTCATTTAAACACAAATAGAAGTAGTATAAACAGCCATATTATTTTTAGACTTATTTTTAAAATAAGCACATCTTAGATTTAAATATATATAAAAATGTGTATGAATAAAAAAGGAGGGGCAGAACCTGTGTTTCAGCGGTTTAGTGCCACCTTCGGCTGGGGGCCTGATCCTGGAGACTCAGGATCGAGTCCCACGTCAGGCTCCCTGCATGGAGCCTGCTTCTCCCTCTGCCTGTGTCTCTGCCTCTCTCTCTCTCTCTCTCTCTCTGTGTGTGTGTCTCTCATGAATAAGTAAATAAATAAAATCTTTAGAAAAAAAAAAAGGAGTAAGACTTTCTCCAATCACTCCTTCAAACTGCAGCCTTGGATCAATCAACAAATATTTATTAAGCTAGGCCAAAAAAAATCAATATACACAGAAAACAAGGAAATGAATGTGCAAGGAAAACTATCACCATGAAAAATTTTCCAATCATTTTTACCCTATTGCAGAAGTGCATATGTTTAAACATTAATTGAATTTTCAAATAGATACTGCTATCAGAGCATATGCTATTTAAGATTCATACTTTGCATTCCCAACAAAGAAACCTCGTCAGGAAATAGGTAACGAAAGCTGTCAATCGTTGCATGTCCTTCTCATTCAAGATTAATGTTCAACCTATATCTTCTTACATTTCCAAAATATCCCTGGGCAACCTTTGCCCAAGCAAATATTCTAAAACCAAATAATAGCAAAAATGCTTACAAGATAGAAACCTACTGAAAGTGATTGTCTGGGTCCTTGACCTTATCTTGAGAGATTTAGGTACAATTAACTTTTATTTTTTTTATTTTTTTTTTATTTATGATAGTCACAGAGAGAGAGAGAGAGGCAGAGACACAGGCAGAGGGAGAAGCAGGCCCCATGCACCGGGAGCCCGATGTGGGATTCGATCCCGGGTCTCCAGGATCATGCCCTGGGCCAAAGGCAGGCGCCAAACCGCTGCGCCACCCAGGGATCCCACAATTAACTTTTATAGTAACCTCACTGCAATCATATGTCCCCTACGATTAATTTTATCCTCAATCAACAAGTGTCAAAATTAACAATTTACCCCCAAAGTACAGAATTATGACATATTTTATAGAAAAGACAAGGCATAATTCTTATGCACCAGTTTTCATGTCCTAATGACAGTTGATGATTCTATAAAACATTTGATACCAGAAGTAGTAACAGAGAGAAACTGAGTAGCTGGTAGGATGGTGAGTTCATGACAGAAATAAGAAACTACATTCCTCCCTGGAAATTTTTGGCATGCTCTCTTCTCTTCGGGCACAAAGCAATATTCTAGAACTGTGGATTGATATGAAATTAAAGATACAAAGGAAAGCTCTATCTGAAAAACAAAACCCAGAATGAATAAGTCATGGAGATCCTTTTCCTCCCTGACAGTCTAACTCCCCAGGTGCTGAAAGATGGTCCAGAGAAGAGTGACATCTATTGTCCAGGAAGGTTTACTGGTGGGATCAACCAGTCCCACTGAGTAGACTGTGCATTTGGTTCATGAGCAAAAGGTGACCAGAGCCACCCAAGAAGGGGCAAATGGAAGCTAACATCCAGTTCATGAGAATTATCCAGGAAATGCGAGCAGAGATCAACAAGCTGGAGAAAGAGAATCAAGTCCTTCGGATGAAGCTGACTTCAAGTAGTCAGAGAACCCCAGGCCCCAGCAGAGAATCAGGAGATGAAAGGGAAGAGGAAGTCACATACCTTGGTAACCTTGAAAAAGCATCTGAAAAATCTCCTGCAACTCTTCACGGTGGTGCTTCCACTGGGGCAGCTCCAGCTGTGCACGAACACCAAGGTACCAAATGTCCATACCTCTTCTGGGCTGTGCCCGTCTTTGCAAAGCTCTCCTAAATTCAGGTTTATTGTGCCTCTCACATAACTGCATAAGTTGGTATTTGCAACGGTGAGTTCCATCCTTTTTCTCCTGGTAGATTACCTTTAAATCCCTAGGGGAACAAATCGTTAGCATCGTCAAGCAACATATTTTAGCAACATCAAAACTATTTCTAGATATTCCTGGAAAGGTAAGAATGACAGGTTGATGAAAACCAGTCACATTATAACAACAACGTGGGTTTTTTTTCCCCTTCTTGACCTCAAGTATTTAAATGTCACATAATAGCACACTGAATGGGTATATGTCAAATGCCATGTTCACTTATTAAGCCACAATATTGCACAGTAGTTAAGTGTATGGATATTACAGTCAGATAAATATGGTTGCAAGTGATTTGTCATTCATTATCCACTTGACTCAGAGATACGAGAAATCTCTAACCTTTGTTTTCTACATTAGGAAGCCTTAGAGTACTTACCTCACAGGGTTGCAGTACCTATCTCACTGCAATAATAGACTAAGTGCTTAATATAGCATCTGGCCAACACACAACAAATGGCAGATGTTGTTTCTTATCCATGTTTTACAAAGAACCTTACTGCCCTATAAGAATGTGTGTTGCATGAGAGTCAACCTCCTATACAGGTGGAAGATTTCAAGACGCAGGGTCAGTGTCTGATATATTCTGAAAATCAAATCCCTCATTTTTTATGGGAAAGTATTTTGACTGGGAAGACTACACACACGAAGTCGGAAATCAGCAGAGCGAAAAACACATTCTACATTTAAATTATCAGTGCTTGCCTACACACAGCATATTCAAATAAAATTGATGTACATAATTAAATACTCAAATCTTTTAATATTATCTGTCAAAGGCTTCAGGCAATGCCATTTAGAGGTTCTAAACAGCTTGGCAAGGGAACACGTCATGTTTGCCAGCTGGTTTTCTCTGTTGGAGAGGTCTCTCTCTAACATGGGGCCCTACATTTCAAAACTGGAACAGATTCCAATCAGGGCTTTTTCCCTTTTTGCCAAGTGCAACTCTGGATCTGAGTAGTTCTGTCTGATGGTTATTTAATAAAATTAAAGAATAACTGATAAAGAGGTTAGACTTTTTCCTGGTTAAAGAAAAGAAAAAAAGAAGAGAAAGATAGGGATATTTATAATACACACTTACCCCATAGTTCCTCAACCTCTGCAATCTTGGACATTTTGTACTAAATAGCTCTGTATTTAATGGATCTGTCTTGGATACTGCACACTGTTTAGCAGCTTTTCTGGCTTCTAAATACTAGATGCCAGTAGTACCTGCCTCTTACCCTCCAGTCGTAACCACCAAAGTGCCTTCAGACATTCCAGATGTTGCCTGAAGAACAAAATTTCCTCCATTTGAAAACCACTGCCTTATTCCAAAGGTAAATGACATTCCTTGAAATCTATTCTCTATAAGCTTATCATTAGCTTAACCTAATGAAAAAGTATGTTCTATCTTAGTACATCTGTGGCTATTTTACAACAAGAATTACACCATTCAAAGGACAAAGAATATTACCCTTTAAACTCTCAGGGCCTGAATGCTATCAAGCTTGGGGGAGTTTAGACTATTAATTAGAGCTAAACACACAATTGATATCATACTTCTTCAGCATATGGATGGTAACTGCCAACAAGAATGGTAGCATTAAGTTTAAAAGGACTGGTGAAAAACTGGTAACATTTGGGGAACCCTAGTCAGTTGCATTAACAAAACAAAGAAAGAAATATGATTTAAATTTGTGCTTGGAAGCCCTCTTGAGTTACTCTGCATGTCTTTATCCGTGTCTTATATTTTATGTGCTATCACAAAAGTAAGTGATATAAGCAGAAAGAACATTGGCCTGAGCATGAGGACACTGTATTGTAGTCTCAATTTTGTAATAGTTGGTCAGTGCTAAGTAGGACACATAAAACTCCTGACCTCAGCATCCTCATGTAAAAATGAATGGAATAGATTAAACACCTTCCCAAGCCTCTCCTAACTGTAAAGTTCTGTGATCCTATGAATGTAACATGCTTTTATCATAAAAAAAAACCTCATCTGTGAAATGGACATAGTAATAGAATCTATCTCCTATGGCTGTTGAGAACATTAAAAAAGATAGCACAGGTAAGATTCAACATGAGTTACTTGGTGGTAGTTATCTTCATATCATTGGATATGCCAAATAAAATGCTATTTGACTTTGGCATAAGTTTTTTTTATCAGCAATTTTAATTTTAAGACATTGTCAGTATCTTAACTTCAAACTGAAGTGGCATTCATACTTAAAACTGAATCATAAAATAAAAATAAAATAAAACTGAATCATAGACCTTTGCTACTAGAAAGGAATTTTCAAGATCATCCCCTTATTTTACAGTTGAGGATATAAGACCTAGAGGTTAAGCAACCTGTCCAATCCTTTAAAAACAGAATAATATAAACCTATTCTTTGAGAAGGAACAATATGAAATCAGAAATGTGAATCTCTTTAAGAAAGGGAATAATTAAAGAGAACCTGGAAGAGAATCACTTGGAACTAAAAGTTCTTTTGTTGGTTGTGCAATATGTGTAGTGAGACAAAAATGAGATTTTATGAATAGAGAAGCCTACTTCCCCATCATTCACCTGAGGGCACAGAGCTATGCTACATCCCAGGGACACAGCTGCTTGGGGATATATTATATATATATATATATATATATATATATATATATATATATATATATTATGAAGAAGAATGCAGAAAAGCACCTGATTAGAATGAATCTTTGTTGAATAAGCTCTCATGGAAGCATCTGTAATAGTGGATAAGCATTTGGTAGATATGAAATGCAACCAGCACTTTCAGGGATGCTGCCCTTACCCTCCTGCCCTGTGCAATGTCACCTTGGGACCATCAGGAGAGAAATACTTTGCAGCAAGCAAGATAAAAGAAATGATTCTTTTTAGGGATCCCCCAGCATTGCTGGACCTTTGATTCTCTGCAATGTATTCATATTCTTTGCTGGCAAATATACTGCATTTGGCAGCGATCTCTGAAATTGTGCTAATGACCCCATGATGTTGTGTTGAATATCCTTTCCCTTTTACAAAATAAGAAGTGAAAGGATAACAGACTATTTGTGACCCAGAGAGATGAAAAAAGAGCAAAGTTGATAATCGGTCAAGTTGGAAAAGTTGGAGCATAGGTTTCCAAATAAGAATAAATTTCCCCTGGCCATCATCGGCACAATTTCCTCTATTGTGATTTCCTACCGTTCACTATAAAAAGATTGTTTCATAATCATTTCAAACAAAAACTTTTTTGATTGTCAATAGCCATAAACTTGTTTTTAGACAATTATAGAAGTTATAGATCATGGCCAAAGTAGTGTTTAGAAATAATTTAGAAAACAGTATTTGCATACAATTATTAACTTCAGATAGATTTGAACTGAAACCACCTCCCCCCACCCCAAACTCTTGCTTAAAAGTTAATCTTCTGCTCTTCCAAACCATAAAAGCCAGGGCAGCCTCCACTTTTTGCAATGGCCTTAATAATCATCTGCATTCTGCCGATGTAGGCAGCAAACCTAAGTAAAAAACAATTGTGCTTCTAGCACTCTTAAAACTGAAACACGATGCAGGCCTTTCTTAAATATCCATGCTAGTTTATGCCAGAACTGTAACAAGAAAGAAAAAAGATTTGACAAACATTCCTTAAGTGCTCCAGAAAATGAAAACCAACCCATGAGGTCAGAGTTCTTAGCCCCCTGGGTAATAACTGGATGTCTGGTCAGCATTAGTACAGTGTCATGAGGATTCAGACAAACTAAACTCCCTAAAATAAAGCTCTTTTAATCAAGTGCCTAAGTTACAAGGAACAGAGAACCTTGATTCACATCAAGAAAAGAACTTATTGAAAGTCCTTGGAAACTAAGGCCATAAATCTCTCCATCTCTCTCTCAGGAACACTCCAGTTTTCTATGCAAGTCACCTCTGCTTCTTTCCACATACGGTCCTGTGCTTTTATCTCTCAATCAACAGGCTTCCTCATAATGACAATCCCAACTAAAGTCAAGACACACCAAGTATAGGCCAGTTAACAGCAACTAGTACAATTATTTGTGGCCGTTCAGGTGGTGAGGGTCTATGATGAACAAGTTCTTCTACAATCTTCTAGAAGGAGAGAGAAAAGCTGTCCAGAGTTGGCGTCTCCAGAATATCCATGGTCATCCCATTGTAAAGTCTTGTTTTATTATTTCTACATGTCCAGGTCTCTTTTCTAATGCATCTTTACAAAGGTCTTCCTGACCACACTATACAGTTGTCAGAGCCCCTACCTCATCTGTCTCTATCCTTTTGCCTTTATCAGCCTAACTTGGCTTCTTAGGACCTATCACTACCTGAATTTTATCACATGATGTTTGTTTATCATCTGCCTGCATGCAAGAAGGTAAGCTCGTGTGGGCAAGAGTTTTGTGTGAGTCACTACCATATCCCCATCTCTATCTCATAAAAAAAGTGCCTGGCATGTGACTGGAACTCAATTATTTGTGAAATAAATCAGGGAACAGATGTAGTTTATGTGAGAAAAAAATGAATCAAAAGCAATAGATATATTTAGTTCATTTTGATGAAGTACTATTAACATAATTTGCCATTTGTGGATGTCATTCAAGGTAAAATTTTCATGAACTTAAATTTTGTGTCTCCTACACAGACAATGTCATGATTGTTAGACGCTATTCCATTTCCTCACCTATTCATTCATTTACTGCAAAGGATCCTCGGAAAGGTGGGGAAAGACACCCCAAGAGTGGGATTCTAGAAGCTCAGAGAAGAGTTAAATCACTGGCATGTTCTTCAGTTAAGAAGCAAGACAATGAAGAAGAGATGTTTGTAGCAGATTCTTTGACCAGCACGAGTTCCAACCAAAGAGCTTCTCCTGAGCATGTTTTTGGTCAGGTAACCAGGTAAGATACAATCTGCCTCAATCCAGGTGATTGGCACATGCTGTGATGGGTGCTGAGACATTCCTCTGGATAAACAAGGTCTTAATCTAGTGGAGGAAACAAAACCAAGTAGGTTCTTAGGCCTAAATAATTTCCATCTCACTTATGTGCATTTAGGGATCAAAAGAAAGAAAAAAATTTTTTGAGGTCAAATGGCACTCAAACTCCTCTATGAGCAGAACACCTAATCAGTCTGCTGTTCCTCATCGAACACCAATGACTGTACTCTGAGCTGGCCACTGTTGATAAAATATTCAGCAAAAGCAAAATGTTATGTTCGAAACTTTCATTCAGTGGCAAAGATACACAAGTGAACGATCACTCTAATAAAGTGCTTCTCAGGGAAAAGACACACTTCTTTTAGGAACTGAACACAGAATTCCTCTCTGAGAGAGGATTGTTCTTGTGCAGGAAGTGACCCAGTGGATTTTGAGGGGTATAAAAAAGGCATAACTGAAAAGGGCCAAGAGACAAAGAGAAAAGGAATTTGTTCTGCCAACTATAGGAGCTGGTGTGTAGGGAGGTAGGCGCAGCCTGAAGAAAAAAGAGATTTGAGGAAATATTTGAGAGATAGGCAGGGAGTCTTTAAGAGGAACGTTGGACAGTGACACCAGAAGTGTGTAGAGCCAATGGCCCTTTCAGAACAAAATTGTCACTATCAAGTCTAATTTATTCCCTCTACAAGGCTAGAGCATGATCTCCCCTCCCCACCCCTGCCTTCTGATTCCCAGTTAGGCCTTGACTCTCTACCAAGAGTCTCTACACATTTGTCTCCCTCAAGGAGAAAAAGAGGCCTGGGTTCACATGGAGAAGAGAAATTGGAACAAATGTGGTTGTGGGAAGAATAAAAGAGTCATCAAACTCAGCAGTGGCAAGAAACCAAAGGGATAATACCAGTGATAGGCCTGCTAGGACTCTCATCAATATTGGAAAGAGCATGGACCTCCCACAGGATGCAGGACGCAAAGGCTGAGCCAGTTTCATTTGAATTTTACAAGACACGATGAAAATCGTGTTTCACTTACAGAAAGTTCTATTATAGGAATAGAGTAGCCTGAGTCATGAAAGACAGCTGCATGTAGCCAGGCAAAGGAAAATGGAAAGATCACCCCAGGTAGAGCAGAAAAGGCAAGGAGATAGAAGAAAACATGACTGTGGGGAAAACTAGAGTAGTCAAGTGAATGAGGGTGAAGGAGGGAGCAAGATCCATATGAGAGGCCTTCCGTGCAATGCTCACAAGTGTGTGCTTTGTCCTGTAATTATTGGAAAGCTAGTAAAAGATGTCTTTCTGAAAAGTTTTAAAAGGCAAAAATATTCAGAAGCTAATGTTACAAATACCACTGTTTTCATCTGCAACAATTTTGTCACATTTTCTTCAATGTTTTTATATATAAAAGGAAAAAAATGTTACTAACAGAGAGAAAGATCCTATATCTCTCTTCTCTGGTCCTGTCAATAGGCATGTGTTATCCTAAGTTTCATTTCTATCCTATTGATCTATTTTTTTCATACCTTCATTACATTCATTTATTCATTCATTCATTCAATAAATAATCCTGGAGGCATGTCACATGCTGGACAGGATTCTACGCCATGAGGATACAGTAAAAAATGACATTGTCCAAAGTCCCTGCCCACGGGGAGCATGTTCCTTTGTAACACTAATCATCCATAAACAAGAAAATACATAAAAGTGTATCATTTGTGTTAGAGGGTGATACATATGAAAGATAACTTTAAACCAATTAAAAGGGGGAAAAGAAGGGTTGAAGGAGCAAGCATTGTTGAAATTGTATATATCATGGCTAGAAAATACCTCGCCATATGAGTAAAAAGGGAAAGTGTCCTGATGATTGCTGGGTGGGAAAAACTTTCCAAGAATGGAGGACAACAAATACAAGAGATGCTGGGGGGGGGGCGCATGACCAGTGTTTGAGGAAAGGAAAGGAGGCTGGTGTGACTGGAACAGAGTGAGCAAGCAAGAGAGAGGGAGAAGATGAAAGCAAAGCATGAGGGGATGACCTGCTACTCCCCTGCAATGATTCTGGATTTATTCCAAGTGAACTAGGTGCATAACATACTCCTTTCATTAAAATAAATAAATAAATAAAGATAAAAGACCATGTTGGGAGTTCTGCTTGAAAAAAGACTGTAGGAAAATGATACAGAAAATAAAAAGACCAGGTTTAAGGCTAAAAAAAATAATAATAATTGAGGTTAAGACACCAGGGTGGTTCAGCGGTTGAGCTTCTGCTTTCGGCTCAGGGCATGATCCCAGAATCCGGGATCAAGTCCCACATCAGGGTCCTAGAAGGGAGCCTGCTTCTCCCTCTGCCTATGTCTCTGCCTCTTTTTCTGTGTTTCTCATAAATAAATAAAATCTTTTTAAAAAATAATCGAGGCAAAAGATGATTATTTCTTGGCCAAGGGCAGTAATAGAGGATGTGGTTTCTGGATATACTTTGAAGATGAATCTCATAAGATTCATTGGCAGAGCAGATGTGGGATACAGAAGCAAGAAGTGGACACCCAATCATGTGTTCCAATGGCCATGTGTTTTCCAAGAGGAGAGAGGGAAGAAAGGCAGAGAGGTGACTTTTGCTTTAAAAAATTGTGTGTTTATGTATATAAAAGCACTAAATGTTCATCGTAAAAAAGAATGTCCATTGTTTTAAAAAATTATATATATATACACATATACTTACATATATATACATATGTATGCATGCATATATATATACAGTTTATAAAGGCACTAAATATTCATTGTAAAACGAAAATTACAAAATATAAATGCATTCAAAGTAAAAAAGTATAAAAAGGAAAATCTTCTATAACTTCAGTCTATAACCACCATTTAGATTTTGATGGACATCTATCTTTCCAGTCCGTGTCTGCATATTATGAAATTGTGCCGTGCACATATCATAATGTTTTATTTTTTGCACTTAAACCATTACATTCTCGCAGACCTACAATGCTGAGAAATACGGTATTATTAATTTTCCCACTTCAATTCATGTTATTTTCTGTGATCATTTGGCAGCCTAACCAACATTTATAGTGTATTATTTTTCTGAAGTAAAATGTTTTCCAAATTCCAAGCTGCCAAAGAATAAACTATTTAGAACACAATCCATTCGTAATTTAGAATCTACTTTAATGGGAAAGACTGAGCCAATTGCAGGTTTGTGTTAAAACAAGAAAATCAGTAATGGCTTGAAATCAACAGCTGGGTTGGCATAAAATCCAATTGATGCAGATAACTGTTGAGAAGAATAAAGCATGTATTTTTTTTGTTATAGTGCTTTTTAATTTTGTCTTTTACTTCCTCAGTAATTAACTAGTAAAGTAATGTGTCATCACATTAGTCCTCTAATTTTTTTGTAAATCCATTTACTTTCTAATAGCTCGCAAAGAATTTACAAAGATTTATCAAGAACCAATTTGCTTGGCTTTTGAAGCAGGCAAACATCATACCTAATTTGCTTGTGAGCCTTTTCATTATTATACCAAGAAAGTGTTTTACAAAATAATGCCAATGTCAATATTTCTAATAACAAACACTCTCCAAAAACCAGATAAAGAACTTTAATTTTTCCTTAGTTTTCATAGAAACTACAAACCTAGAAATCTAATGTTCTCTTGTGTTTAAGAAAAAAAAATCTCTGGCTGTCAAAAAAATTAGGGGGAAAGGTCCATATAGAGCATAGCATGAAGCATAGAAATGTGTAATCACTATGTTGTAGACCTGAAACTAATCTAACATTGTGTGTCAATTGTACTCAAATTAATATTTTTTATTTTAAAGACAGAGAGAGAGAGAGAGAGAGAGAGAGAGAGAGAGGCAGAGACATAGGTAGAGGAAGGAGAAGCAGGTTCCATGCAGAGAGCCAGATGTGGGACTCGACCCCTGGATTCCAGGATCACGTCCTGAGCCAAAGGCAGACGTTCAACCACTGAGCCACCCAGGCGTTCCTCAAATTAATATTTTTAATAAAAGTTAATTAATTAATTATGAATTTAATTAGAAATACTATATTATTCATTTTGCTGGTAGGAGAAACCAGACACATTAAATAAATACACAGTTGACTCTTGAACAACCCAGGTCTGAACTGCACCACTCCCCTTATACGTGGAATCTTTTCAGTAAGTACAATACCTTATGATTTTCTTAAGGAACATTTTCTTAACGATTGCCTTTATTTTCTCTAGTTTGCTTTATTATAAGAATACTGTATATAATACATACAATATGCTAAATATGTACTAACAGACTATTCATGTTATTGGTAAGGCTCCCAGTCAACAGTAGCCTAGTAGTAGTCAAGTTTGGGGGGGAATCAAAAGTTATGTGCAGATTTTCCACTGCCCCAGGGCTGAGAGCCCCTAACCCCTGTTTTGCTCAAGAGTCCACTGTATCCTTTCCTTTTCTTATAGCAAAATGGTTAAGAAAGCAGCCTCTGGAATCAGATGGATAAAATCTCAACTCCATCATTGGCCTTAGAAAAGTTATAACTCTATTTAATACCATAGTTTATTCTTTTGTAAAAAAAAAGAATCATAATAGCAGTTATCTCATAGTTTTTGTAAAGAACAAATGAGATAGTCAAGTGAGTGCTTATAAGTGACAGAGCAGTTATTATTTTATTGATCCCAACATATGGAACCACTAGCCTTCCTCCCAAGGGAGGGAGCAGATGTGTTCCCCTGGATACAGGCCACTATATGCCACTCAGTGAAATGATAGCCTTATCTACTACAAAGAGAGAGAGACAGAGAGAGGATGAAATTGGAGAAAAGACAGTGATTTCAAACACCATTCTTTTGACTCTTTCCTGAGAGTAGCATATCCTAATTTATGTCAAAATTCGATATAACACTGTTGGAGGTGAAAGGAGTGGGCACAATGGAACGATTTAATCCTTCAGAAGACAGGAGTCCCTGACACCTCTCCTTTCTCCCCTTTGTTGTTCAGGTGTGATGGATATTCCGTTAATTCAAAGTCTATAATTGCAGGTTGATCTGGATTATAAAATAATGGTCTCAAATTTCTGCTTCATTTCACCTGAAGAGCTTCAATGTGAAAGACTCTTCGCCTGAGACAATATGATATTCTTTAACTTTAAACATTAAGAAAATAATCTTCCCTCAATTGTTTAGTTTTATCAGCACTCTACATTGGGCTTAATGAAAAGTCCAATTCCAATATATTTTTGGCATTATTGTTAAATAACTAAACAAAATATATTATGATGTATTTCAAATGAGCTTTGATGCTTTAGGTAGTATTTGGTGGCTTAGAAAAATAGTCAATATTTTATATAAAGGCTCACTAAGAAGTCTTATTTACCTTCTCTTTATTCTGCTCTCTTTAGGGACAAGATAAAGACAGTCAGTTTCCTGTTACCCATGGATGTGTCTTCATATTCCAGAAATTCAAGTTCTTTGAAATGTTCACCAAATCAAACCAAAAACCAGCTAAGTACCATCACAGAATAGGCTGTGTAAGGTGATGAAATTTAAGAAACAGCTAATTCTCAAGACATGGAAACACTGAGGCCACTCTGGGTCAGTGTTCTCTCCTATAAAGAGCTCTGGAAAGATGCCCAGTAAGACATACAAAATGCTTGGAATCGGGTCAATGGACTTGTCAATGGACTTGGCCAAGAAATAGAAGTGATTACTTTCTGTTGTTGTTGAATACTAATGTTGATGGCTGTACAGTGACTATTGTGGTCTCTCTATGCAGCATGTGAGCAATTAAATGTAATTAAATTAAATTGCATGGTAGTGTTCAGTAGCTGCCTTATGCCATCAGGAAATGCTGCTGTTTACATTATAAGTGTCACTTCCCAGATGAACCTGTAATAAATTTAGGGGGAAAAAAGTACTATTTTTGATTAATGGTATAGAAGCAATAGTGATTATCCTTATAGTTAATTGTTTGTTGATATTTCACTGATACTAACTCATTTGGTCTTTAAATATTCTGTGTCACAGGCATGGGAGCACAAATACAGCAGACTCCCATATGGTGGGCTCAGAGCAATTGTGGGCTGGCTAATGACAAAGCCACTAAACTTGCTTAGAAGGAAAGAAAAAAAAGATTCAGACGATCATTACTTAGGGATTGGAAATGTCAGAATCCCATCAATTCCTGAACTTCTTTTCAGGAAAACATCTCCCCCTCCTGGTTTACAGCAATCACGTTCAAATACCAACATCCTTTTAAAACTAATATATTAAAATATTCAGAGCTGGCAGCCCAGGTGGCTCAGCAGTTTAGCGGCTCCTTTAGCCCAGGACCTGATCCTGGAGACCCGGGATCGAGTCCCACATCGGGCTCCCTGCATGGACCCTACTTTTCCCTCTGCCTGTGTCTCTGCCATTCTCTCTCTTTCCCTCTCTCTCTCCTCTCTCTCTGTCTTAAATAAATAACAATCTTAAAATATTCAGAGCATTAAAATGCAGATTCCTGGTGCATCTGGGTGGCTTAGCTGAGTAAGCATCCAACTCTTGATTTCTGCTTAGGTCGTGATCTCAGAGTCATGGGCTCTGAGCCCAGCAGGGAATCTGCATGAGATTCTCTCTCTCCCTCTCCCTCTGCCCTTTCCCTTCATGTTCTCTCTCTCTCTCTCTCTCTCTCTCTAATAAATAAGTAGATCTTTAAAAAAATGCAGATTCCTTGTTTCCTCCCCAATACCAACACTCTTTTTAAACAAATATTTTAAAGTCATCAGAATGTTAAAATACAACTTCTTTGGTCTCACCCCAGACAAATTGAATTGGCTGAAGAAGTAGGGGGACAGACAGGGAGCAAACAAGAAATTCTCATTTTAAATAAGCTTTCTCAGCTGATTTCTGCTAGTGTCAGCTATGCTTACAATTCACTGTTGTAAATACTAAAAAGCATAATCCAGGGCTCTCAAATCTGATGCCAAGTTGAAGTGGAAGCAGTGAAGCAAGGGAAGGATAAGAATGGTCCAATCTGTTTCTAAGAAAGGATTTTAATAGTCACAGACAAGCTCTTAGAAGGGAGATGGATGAATCAATGAAAACCCTGAGGTAAAAGCTACATAATGGGTCAAATGCTTCTTTTATTTATATTTATTTAAGATTAACAATATTCTCAACATTATAACAGATGTACAATAGGGTAAAGTTACAACCAGAGGGGAAAGATACAAATGAGATTTAAAAACACATTCATCTGGGAATAAAGACACAATTCAGTGGATAATTAGATAGTAACCTATGAGATTCTTGGTATTTTTAGTCATGCACAATTATATTTTCTGCCTACTTACAAAATAAAGACTTTTGTGTTAACATCAGTTAAAAGAAACATTTCCTAAACAGTAAAAAAAAAAAAAAGGCAATAAATGACAACCACCCAAATTACAATGTTATAACTGGCAGAGATATAATGACAAATTATCCCCAATACCAAGTTTGATGACTAGTATGTGATTGGCATTTCACACATGTTCTGTGAGCTGAATTGAATTAATATTAACAACTACATCATTCTAACACTGCCCAGTAAAAAACACGGCACCATCAAATGCTAAACTTTAATATTAAAGCATTTAATATTATGATTAAAGAAACAAAGCCTCGTTTCTAGTCCCTGACTCACTATACTGTTTTTTTTAATAATAAATTTATTTTTTATTGGTTTTCAATTTGCCAACATACAGAATAACACCCAGTGCTCATCCCATCAAGTGCCCCCCTCAGTGCCCAACACCCATTCACCCCACACCCCGCCCTCCTCCCCTTTTACCACCCCTAGTTCATTTCCCAGAGTTAGGAGTCTTTATGTTCTGTCTCCCTTTCTGATATTTCCCACACATTTCTTCTCCCTTCCCTTCAATTCCCTTTCACTATTCTTTATATTCCCCAAATGAATGAGAACATACACTGTTTGTCCTTCTCCGATTGACTTACTTCACTCAGCATAATACCCTCCAGTTCCATCCACGTTGAAGCAAATGGTGGGTATTTGTCATTTCTAATGGCTGAGGAATATTCCAGTGTATACATAGACCACATCTTCTTTATCCATTCATCTTTCGATGGACACCAAGGCTCCTTCCACAGTTTGGCTATTGTGGACATTGCTGCTAGAAACATCGGGGTGCAGGTGTCCCGGCGTTTCACTGCATCTCTATCTTTGGGGTAAATCCCCAACAGTGCAATTGCTGGGTCGTAGGGCAGGTCTATTTTTAGCTCTTTGAGGAACCTCCACACAGTTTTCCAGAGTGGCTGCACCAGTTCACATTCCCACTAACAGTGTAAGAGGGTTCCCTTTTCTCCGCATCCTCTCCAACATTTGTTGTTTCCTGCCTTGTTAATTTTCCCCATTCTCACTGGTGTGAGGTGGTATCTCATTGTGGTTTTGATTTGTATTTCCCTGATGGCAAGTGATGCAGAGCATTTTCTCATGTGCATGTTGGCCATGTCTATGTCTTCCTCTGTGAGATTTCTGTTCATGTCTTTTGCCCATTTCATGATTGGATGTTTGTTTCTTTGCTGTTGAGTTTAATAAGTTCTTTATAGATCTTGGAAACTAGCCCTTTATCTGATACGTCATTTGCAAATATCTTCTCCCATTCTGTAGGTTGTCTTTGAGTTTTGTTGACTGTATCCTTTGCTGTGCAAAAGCTTCTTATCTTGATGAAGTCCCAATAGTTCATTTTTGCTTTTGTTTCTTTTGCCTTCGTGGATGTATCTTGCAAGAAGTTACTGTGGCCGAGTTCAAAAAGGGTGTTGCCTGCGTTCTCCTCTAGGATTTTGATGGACTCTTGTCTCACATTTAGATCTTTCATCCATTTTGAGTTTATCTTTGTGGATGGTGCAAGAGAGTGCTCTAGTTTCATTCTTCTGCATGTGGATGTCCAATTTTCCCAGCACCATTTATTGAAGAGACTGTCTTTCTTCTAGTGGATAGTCTTTCCTCCTTTATCGAATATTAGTTGACCATAAAGTTGAGGGCCCACTTCTGGATTCTCTATTCTGTTCCATTGATCTATGTGTCTGTTTTTGTGCCAGTACCACACTGTTTTGATGACCACAGCTTTGTAGTACAACCTGAAATCTGGCATTGTGATGCCCCCAGCTATGGTTTTCTTTTTTAAAATTCCCCTGGCTATTCGGGGTCTTTTCTGATTCCACACAAATCTTAAAATAATTTGTTCTAACTCTCTGAAGAAAGTCCATGGTATATACTGTTTGATAGTAAATCTCCTGAGAAGATTTTTAATATAACGAGCTACAAAGAACATGAAGTGTATCTCAGTCATGCTCTGACCAATATATTAGTCTTCTTCTATGCCCCAAACTTAGTTAGTCAGGAACTCAAATGGCTACTAGGAACTGCAAGAAACATAAATGAGTAGAGGCTGTGGGGAAAAGACCTGTGCATGCCCCATCCAAAAAGAGCTGCAGTCAACATTTGGATTCAAGATGACAACATAGGAAAACACTGAACTCCCCTCATCCATGGAACACACCAAATTACAGCTGTTTATAGAATAATTCCTCCTGAAGAAGAATTGAGGGCTGACTGAATAGATACTGAACAGGCAAAGACAGAGAGAATGGCAAGAGAACAATGAGAGAGATGGAGAAACAGTAACAGAGGGAACTCCCAACACAGTGGGAGCAGATCTTTCTGTCCTTGGGCACAGAAATACAAACAAACAAACAAACAAAAAACAAAAAAAAAAACACAGAGCTAGTATGTTACACACACACACACACACACACACACACACACACACACCAGAACTCTGTCAAACAGTGAAGGAGCTACAGAAAAGCTCTCCAAGTCAGACTGAGGAACATCACAGTTGACATTCCCAACCCCACCCTAAAAGCCTAGACTGAAGCAGGGTCTGCACACCATAACAGCCCAGTCTAGGAGTCTTAGGGAACTCATGACTTCCAAGAGCCCAGAGTCCAGAATCACACACCAGCTGCTCTGCAGTGCTAGGGCTCAGAAAACAAGCTGTAGTTTGGGGGCAGAGAGGGTGTGGGTTTTTTTGTTTTTTTTTTTTGTTGTTGTTGTTGTTGTTGTTGTTGTTTTGTTTTTTTACTATTTTATCCTGTTTTATTTATTTTTGAATATTTGTTGCCTTGCTTTGTTTTCATTTTTGGTTTTGTTCTTTTCTTTCATGTTCTCTTCATTTCTTTATTTCTTCTTTTTTCTTTTCTTTTATAATGTTCTTTCATGATTTTTTCATTACTCACTATGTAAAAAGCCATGATCTAAAAGAGCAGCTAGCACATACTAAGATCCACCAAAAGCCACCAAGCTCATACAGTCTGCATAGGGGTCACCATGCAGACCACTCCTTCAACTTTAGAAGTAACCATTTCACCTAATCCATAGAAACAAACACAGAAAGTCAAGGAAAATGGGGTGACAGAAGAATATGCTCTAAAAAAAGAGGAAGAAAAAAAAAACCTCGGTAAAAGAATGAAATGAAAGAGAG